TGGATTGGGTTCTCTAGAGAAACACAAAAACCAGCAAAGTGTATATATATATTTATAGAGAGAGAAAGAGAGAGAGAGAGAGATTTATCTTAGGTAAATGGCTCACAAGCGTGTAGAAGCCGACAAGTTCAAGCTGAAAAGTTCGTCTCTGGAGGGGGATGGGGCCCGGAGCTGCCTGGCTTTCACACGCACGGCAGAGGAGTTCAAGCCACAAAGTTCGTCTCTGGAGGAGATGAGGCCCGGAGCCGCCTGGTTCCCGTAAGCACAACAGAGCCGAGAGACTCAAGCTGGCATGCAGCATGCTGGTTGCTGTTCCCAACAAAGGATGAATCCGAAACCTCCAGGGTGAGCGGCAAGCCGCTCACTCAAGGAAGTATATAGTCCGGAATGCCGTTCTTCCAGCTTGTCCTTGGAATAGCATTGCAGGTAGGCCACACCCCTGGGAAAACTCCCCTTGGGCAGACCGGCCGCTCAGAACTCAGTCATCTGATCCCATCATGGGAACCACCACTCACAACTGGAGTCCAGCCAAGTTGACACATCTTCAACTATCACAGTGCAGGTTGTTGTTGTTGTTGTTAATGTGCTGTCGAGTCGGATCTGACTCATAGCGACCCTCCTTGGGTTTCCGAGGCAGTATCACTATGGAAGTAGATTGCCCTATCTTCCTTCTGAGGAGTGGCTGGTAGATTTGAACCACCAGCCTTCTGGTTAGCAGTCAAGTGCCTTAGCCACTATGCTGCCAGAGCTCCCAGCATGCGGGTAGCAATCGCATAGTCATGGTGCACCCATTCTCCCTGTCCTAATGACTCAGAGGCAAGATACTCTGTGAGTTCAGCACATCCAAGCTGTGATGCATTTGATCAAAACAAAGAGACTGAGAGTTATGCTTCTGTCAGTGAGGAAAGCTCTTTGGGGAACAGTTTGGAGGTTGAAGGTTGGTATCTCTCCAGTGGCCTCTGCCTTTGTGACTTGCTTCCTTCTTCTCCCAAATAAAACTCCACACACACACACACAAAACCCAATGCTTTGCCATTGAATTAATTCCAACTCATGGCAACCCATGTGTGTCAGAGTAGATCTGAGTTCCATAGGATTTTCAGTGGCTGACTTTCTGGGAGTAGATCATCAGGCCTTTTTTCTGAGGCCCCTCAGGATGGACTCAACCCCCTACCATTTTGGTTAGCAGTGAATGATAATATTAACCATTGGCACCACCCAGGGATGCCTAGACCATGGTAAATTTGGCAAGCACAGATCTCAGTTCCCAAACTGATAGAAATCTATTTTTCTGTAGCTTCTATTTTGAACTTCCATTCTATTGGGATGACAGAAACCTAATCTCAGTCAATCTGGAGTTACAGCTGAGTTCCAGGCAGTGTACTCTGCCATGGCAATGGAGTACAGGGTTTGGGGAATAGAGTTTTGGTGTTATCTGTCCAGTAAGGCACTGCTCAGACATCTCTCCTCCATGATCTCATCAGGAAGGGGATCTTCTCAGTAGCTTCTTTTGTGTCTCTCCAGGCATGGGATCTCTTCAATGTTGCCGAAAGTCCCATCTGCCCAGACTGGAGTCCTCATGAAGCCTCACTCTCCAAAGACTGGCAATTTCTCCAGAACTTTGGCTGGGAAGACAGGCATAGCCCTGCTTCCTTCACTAGTCTTCCCAGGGCCAGCCCAAGAGACTGTTATAGTTGGGGATTTGGGGGTTGGCAGTTGGGGCAATGGGCTGCGTGTAGAGAAAGGGAACCACCCTCTCTCAACTAACTTCTGCTCTTCCTCAAGAATTCTATCCAAACACTTTGGCTATTCCTTTGGACATCATTCACTTAAGGGTTTTAGATAAGGTAAGGTAAGACATTTCTTTCATTCTGTTTCTGCCCTATTGTACCCCTTCCCTAAGGGACTGGGAATAAGAAAATTTAGTTATTTGAATCTAAGCAAAAGGAAGAAATATCAATAAATCAATTAATTTTTCAAAAATGTTATAAATAAGCATTCTTTTCCTGGAGTATTGAAGGAGGGTAAGGCCAGAGCAGCTAGTGGAAGAGGATTTGGAATTTAGGGTCCCTGATGTGTCTTCCTTAGAGATATGAGTTCACACTCAGCAGTCATTCCTTTAGCAAGTAAGAAGAAAGGCATCAACTATTTCTCTTTAAAAAAAAAATTTATTTAAAAATTTTCCTTAATCTTTGGGTAATTCAGAATTAGCTTAGGTATGTTTTTGGAAGTCTCTGAGAGTGATTTCTCAAAGCCAAACCAATACCAATAGCTTATTTGACTTGTGGAATGATTAGAGGACTTCATGATATAGGATGAAGAGATGGTTATGAATTAGCCAGAACCCCAAACAGCAGAGGCATCCCTGCAGCATTCAATCATCATTCTTAAATTATCTGCCACAAATATTGAACAACTCATCACACCACCAATAACATTTCGCAACATTTTACAAAAGTTTCCACATATAGAGAGCACAGAATTTAAAATTCTGTAAACTTCATAGTCATACTTAAATTAATACAATTCCTTATATTAATAATAAAAATTAAAAATTCTCATCAACCCAGTGTAGTCTCAGTCTCCACACCAAATGTAGCCCCTGCTGATAGAATGCCACACTCCTCTGCACTCGGTGTTCAAGTTGCAAAAATCACAATGAGTTTGTCAAGGTACAGCAAGCCAGGAACACATGGGCCCAGAGAAGTGTAAAAGACTCATTGCAGACAGCAGTTAAGTGGCCCGAGTTCTCTGCTCCTTCCCAAGCAGAATCAGACCTGAGCTGCAGGCAGTGAGGAAAAGGAGTATGTTCTGCAGCCCTCACTGCCTTAGATGGTTTCCTGGGTGTTGCAAACAGGGTAGTTGTTGACTCTCAATAAGACAGTTAATTCCCTGAGGACAAGGCCTCCTCTCTGGCAACCCCAGCAGCAGGGTCCAGCTCAGCCCAGGTGTAAGCACACAGCAGGTCATTAGTAGTCATTAGTAAAGGAAGGGTGGAAACCGGCATGTACTGAGCACCTGCTAAGTGTCAGGTACAGAGCTAGGACAGGTGCTTTCATAAAATCCTCACAACAGCCCGGTGAGGTAGGATGATCACCTCCATTTTACAGATGTGGAAACAGAGGCTCAGGGAAGGGAGTGTGCCAAGGTGGCACAGTTAGTAAATAGGGAAACATCACTTTGAAAACCCAGGACTTCTCAGTCCAGTGCTTTTTCTTCTGCCTACATACAGTAGGGGTTTGGCAATAAATGAGGACCCCAGTTCCAAGTCCACTGTCTGAAGCTCACACCTTAGAACTCATTGAGCATGCAGAGCCACACTGCAAATTTAGAAGCCTGGGCTAGGAGCCCTGGCCCCACTGCATTACACTGTGGCCCTGAGCAAGCAGTTTAACTTCTTGCCAGTGGCAGACCTGTCCAGTGTCATTCACAGGGGGAAGTGGGGAGGGGAGTTGTACTTAGCACAGCTATCTGGAGAGCATGTATGCAAACATGGGCAACCACTGCTAGGGGGAAGGAAGGCTCTGATGTTGCTCCCTGGGGGTGGGGGTGGGAGATGGAGGGCATGGACATCTGATACCATGCACCTGCACACCATGAGGGGAATTAGTTATGATCTCCAAGGTTCTGACCTATGAAAATAGCTTTAAGCCCTAGGGAACCACCTCCCCACCTCCTTGAGAGACCTTTCCCAGAAGGTTAAAGCAATATGATCAGTACACTTTTAAAACAGAAAATGCTTAAAAGTAATTAGGCAGGGGAAGGGGGAGACACTTAAAGAGAAAAAAAAAGATGGCAGTTAGGAGGAGGTTTGGGCTCGGCATTAAAGGGAAGAGTTGGAATCCAATCTCCCAAATCAGCTGATAGGATGGGGTTAGACCAAGCCTAGAGAAAATGGACTATTGGCATCAGGCTTGCCTGGTGTCTGCCATGGGGCTGCACTCTGCTGCCTCAGGCATGGTTAATGGGGCTCCCTCAATAGCTATCTTGTGCCTATAACTTTAGGCAGGGCTTAGAGAATAACATGAGTGACAAAGGCAAAAAGGAAAATGCAAATGCTTAGGCAAAAATGACTTTACACGTTTCTCCTCTTCCTCTAAGATCCACACAGACACCCCCATTTGTATGAAGTCCTCTGTGACCCACAGACAAATTGCTCTATGGCCTTACTGTGTGCCAAACCAGTCAGCCCAGCAAGCCTATTTCTCCGCTAACACCCAGTGCTTTAAGCACACTGAGTCCTAACTGTCCGTGTACATGCCATTCTCTCCCACTAGACTGTGAGCAACTTAAGAATGGAGACCACATTTTTCAGTCTCTTTCATATCATTTCAGAGAGGGAAGGTAGGCTCATCAAGACCTGTGCTCATGAGCACCCAGGCTAAGTACCTGCCAAACCTGCCAGAAAGATAGGAGCACTGCCTCACCCAGATGATTCCAAAACCATGGACCTTGGGAGCAACTTTGTTCCAGAGCAATCAAGCATGCTTCCTATGTCTTATACCACTTGCCCCCTACAGTCATCCTGCACTGAGCACATTCATAATTTGGGGGAATTTCTTCAGAACATGAAATCAGTATTGAGGTACAAATTTCAAGCAAAATGTAGAGTGCTGGCTTGAGAGAACGACATCATCCAAGAGGACACACAAAGCCTAGCTTTGGCAGCCCTGGTGGGAAAGGTGGATCTACCTGTAGATTCATATCTACCTGTGTGAAAGGAAAGAAGGACTCTGTCTGGAAAGAATGCTAAGTGTGTATATACAAGTGTGGGGGGAGAGGTTGGTTTCCTCCTTTTTTGTGGCTACAGGGAAGGCTGGACCTGGCTCTTCCTCTAAGAGCTTGGAAGTCCCAGAGCTGTGCTGACAGAAGGTGCTACAATGCAAGGAGCAGATTGAGATTGCTCAGGAATGTGGTCTGCCCAGGCCCAGGGTAGCTAAGAGACCAATTGGGCAATGTCCTATGGAGAAATGTGAGAGGCTTGGTCAGGGAGCCCATGCTTAGCAGTGAATGCTCCGGAAGCCAGGCAGTGTGGCTTTTCCATGCAGGTAAATGTCCTCATCTGTACCCTGGTTCAGGTGCTTCACCATGTTCTTCTCAAAGAGGAGCGGATGGTAGGCGCCCATTGTGCAGGCACTGTCGAAGAACTTTTGGTAGTAGTAGCACACATCAGTCTTGCGCTTGGATGGTAGGAACTCATAAATGTCCACCTGGTCACACAGTGTCAGCATGATCATAATGCCTGGAGAGGGAGCAGAGATGAGTCTTGCCCAACAAACCACCCTAGCATCCCATAGCTCTGCTGATGGGGCCAGCAGTTCATGACCTCAGCTTTGGAGGGATTGTTTTTCTGGGGTTTCTGTTTACTATTACTATTACAATAGTAATGGTGATTCTCAATTTGAGTTTCCCTGGTAAACCAAGCCCAGCAGACTATTCCTCGGGGTGCAAGACCTTATGAGCCTTATGCACCTCTGTATCCTTAGCACAGGGGCCAGGGCCTGGTGTGTGCATGTCCCCCTAGACATAAATGCAAGCACTCCATCCATAGTGTAGACTCACCAAGCATCCCAGAGGATGGGGGGTTTGGCTGAATTGCCTCTGGGGAGATTTCTTGAAGGATGTCCCACAGCTCCCAAGGCATCTGAGGCCTGAGGATGTAAAAGGGCTGATTGGGATGCATCTTCCGATAGCTCTTGTAGTTATTAAAGAAACTGTAGTCAGGATGCTGGTACCACTGCAAGAGAAGGAAACAGTCTTCTCAAGAAGAGGAAGTACCGCTGACAATGTTCCTCTCAGACAGTCATCCTCATTTGAGTGCTCAGGAGGAGAAGGACCAGGGAGAATCCTGGATTATAGCATTTCCTACGAGCAGACACCACATGACAGCTGTCATTTGACAGCAGACTGAAGCTCAGCACAGAGTCTGTGCTGATGGGGAATTTGATCATGGTGACCCTGGAACAGCTTTAGACTTCACTATCATAGACTATGGGCACATCACTAGAGCTGAAAGGGGTCTTAGGAACCGTCTGACCCCACTTCTCATTTCTAAAGTTTAGGAAATTAGGACACAGGTGGCCACATCTGTGGGTTCAGAGTCCTAGTCCTAACCTGAGCAAATATGAACTTTAAGATAGAGTTGTCAGCTATTGGTGGATCCAATAGAAATAAATGTCACAAGAGTAGTGCTGTTTGTCTTGCCTCCTTCAAGACATTCCCCTGTGGCCCCTGCAGCCCCCGTCAGGGAGTAACCACCTGTCATCCATAGCAAACAGTGACAGGTCTGTCCTCAGGAGCGTGAGACTCCAGCAGACTGACACTCTTGTCTTCTTCCCTGAAAGAGCTGTTGTTGCATGCCTGGGCCCTCTGCTTAGTAAATCAAATCCCAGGGCAGGTGATCTCACCCCTCCACATGCCAGTTTCCCAAACTGTAAAATAGGAACAACCACGCTTCTGTCTACTTCTTTGAGTTGTCATGAGAGTGAAATGAGAAGAATCTGTCCTCACAGAAGTGAGGTAATATTATCTGCAGTGGTAATTTAAATAGTAATAGCAATAGTGATTATTGCTATTACTGCTGATGCTCATCAGGAATAGACAGGTTAAATGAACACAATCCACACCAGCTTCTGAGAAATTCAACCTCTATTACTTCCATACAAACCGTAATTGGGAGACAAACACTTGGCAATGTGGGGTGGAGCACAGAGAGCAGCCTGTATAGGACAGGAATACTTCTGCGCCTAACAGTCCAGATGAGGTGGGGCACCCTAAAACTAAAATAGCCCATCCACAGGGTCAGCTATGACTTTAAAACCCCAGGAATTCAGGAAAATCTGTAGGCAAACAGGTGGCCCAACCCCTACTTCCTATTGATAGCCACTTACCTTTGGGATGTCTGAGTGGTATATAGATGGGTCCCAGACAATTAGAATCCCTTCATTGTATAAACTGTCTCTGAGGAAGCGTCCTTCTGTGGTAACCAACTGCAGGAAGAAAGAGACAAGATGTCACTTGCACATTTACATATGAAAGGTTAACCATGATAATAACTGACACATACAGGTACTACTCTGAGGCCCAGAGCTTCCAGGAGGCTTCTAAGCTCTGCTGCGGCTCTTTGTTATTCAGAAGATGGTAAAAATAGTCTTCTCAAGAAAAGAACAGTCTTCTCAAGTAAAAATGAAGGTGAAAATGCCAGTGTTGACCTGAGTTGATATTTTATCACAGTCAATCAGTCATATTGAAGAAAAGCTTCCACTCGGATTTTGAGATTACTGGGATGAAAAAAACAGTGATGATGGTGCACCATACTATTTCCACGGAGTCTCACATTTTGGGGATGAGGGCTAAGAAGAGTTAGGTTTCAATGTCAGAATCTCATATAGTCAAAATTATCTCTAAAGATCCCTTCAATGACCTATAAAGTACCAAATCACCAAACCAAACCCATTGTCATTGAGTCAATTCCAACTCATAGCCACACTACAGGACAGAGTAGAACTGCCCCATGGGATTTTCAAGGCTATAATCTTTGCAGAAGCAGATTGCCCTATGTTTCTCCCATAGAAGCTGGCAGGCTCAAACTGGCCATCTTTTGGTTGTAGTAGAGCAATTAACCACTGGCTCTTCTCTATAAAGTACTCAAAAAAACTCACTGTCGTCAAGTTGATTTTGACTCATAGCAACCCCTCCTTGGGGTTGCTACTCTACGGAAGTAGATTGCACAACCTTCCTTAAGAAAAAGGTGGCAGCAGAAGGTGGCAGATACTGGACTGGGCTTGGAGCCAGAAAGACTCAAGCTCAACTCTTGGCTTTGCTCCTAATTTATCTTGTGATCTTTAGCAAGGTCTTCATTTTCTTATCTGTGAAATGAGTATAACAACACTTGCTCTGCTCTCTCAAACAGGAGCTGTCTTGAGGACCAAATGGGGTGCATGAGTGAGTGAGAAAGAAAGAAAAGTAGCCCCCAAGGCTTAGAAATTAAGGGATCAAATGTTTCTCTTAAACTAAGAAAGGAGATTAACTATCAGACATTCTCTTTAAAAAGAAGGTGGGAGATGATGTACCCCAGGGGAAAACTGAGAGGAACAAATCACAAAAATAATCTCTTCTGGCCTCAATCACCATTACCAAGGCTGAGACCTAATCAAAGTTACCATAATATCAGTAGAGCAACTATGGGAAGGGCAATTTGCCATGAGTCTTTAAAATCATTCAGCTATTCCTTTCTCCTTATAATTTCCTACAGATGTAAGAAATCCCTGGATACATGAAAAAATCATCTCATTCACAAGGCATTCAAAGCTGCAGTTCAAAGGCAGAGCAGGCTTCCTGGCAGTGGGGGCTTTGCTGGGTAGAAGTGATGACCTAGGAGGCAGAGGGGCCCAGAGGGCCATGCAGCCTTCCCTCCCACTATTCCATACATGTTGTCCAAGCTAAAACTCTGCAACTATGCTCTCTTCCATCACCCCACCCCATTCCCATAAAGCAGCTCATATACTGAGAGCAACAAGTCCTTCCTTGAACTAGGCTTCTGCTGTGGATTGAATTGTGTTACCTCAAAATATGTATTGTGAGTCTAACCCCTATCCACGTGGAGGTAATCTCATCTGGGAATAGGTTTTTCTTTGTTATGTTAATAAGGCTGTATCAGAGCTGACACAGAGAAAGCTTCCCCTAGAGCCAACACCTTGAATTCAAACTTCAACCTCCTAAACTGTGAGAAAATACATTTCCATTCATTAAAACCACTCACTTATATTTTTGTTATAGCAGCACTAAGAAACCAAGACATCTTCTTTCTGTGCAGAGTATTGATGTCAGAAAATTTAGACATATTCATGTGGCCTAGAAATAACTGAGATTTTTTAAAAATGTCTCCTCCTAACACAGCACTTCTCCAGTAAAATTTTGTAGTATGCAATGCCAGAAGTTTATGCAGCAATTTCTGGTTCCCCAAGACTTTCTCAGGATCTCTGTCTTCAGAAAGTCCAAGGAGGTGCACAGACAGGGTTTTCTCCTTTACAGTAAGGAACATAATAACAAAAGATGCCCCTTAGTGAGGCTTATTATGTGCTAGATACTGTGCTAAATGTTTTCACACTCCACCTCATTTCATCTTCACAATAGCATTAAAAGAGAAGAATTAATATACTCATATTATAAATAAAGAAATAGGCTTAGAGAGGCCAACTCAGTTGCTCAAGTTCACATAGCTATTAAGAAGGGGCGTCTGAATTTGAGCCTATGTCTAGCTCTAGAGCATAGACTTCTAATCTATATGCTACACTGCCTCACACAACACTCTTGAAAGGCTATGTCAAAGGCAGCATTTGATGATGAGTGTGGAATTGTCTAATTTGCAGTGTAGCACAGCTGGAAGATCCAAGGGACTGAATCCATATGCATCATTTTCCAGATGGGTAAACTGAGGTCCAGAGAGAACAGAGACTTGTCTGAAATTACAAGGCAAGTTTAAGGCAGAGCCAAGACTGGAGCTCCAAGATCTGCTCCTAGTAGAATGCTCATCATGCTCCAACAAGGCAATATTTATAAAACCAATGGGCATTTAAATAAGCCAGCACACACTATCAGATCCAGGTCATTTTTAGTTCTCATTGTACACAACTGGGAAATGGTCATTCATTTGAGCTATGAATGAAAAAATAATCCAAGAAACTGGGAAGAGGTGAAGTGCTAACAGAAATAGAAAGTGCCTGAGGGTGGAAGGGGAAAAGCAAGCACCCAAGCACCTTGCAACCTTCAATGGGCACAGCTCTGAACTCACCCCCATTCATTCTCGAGGCTCTTTATATGAGTTTAAAGACTGCTCAGAGAGGTGGGAGACAAGGGTCTGGGCCTGCTTGGTGTCTAACTCTGTGGTCTTAGGTAGGTCACTTTGTCTCTCCAGCCCTGGGTGCCTTATTTACACCCTATAAGGCCCTGCCTGGGTGACCAGCCATGCCTAGGCAACATCTCAGTCTGTCATTTTTCCAAATGTAGCAGCAGAGTTTTAGGAGATATTCAAATTCTTCTCTGAAGGTCCTGCAGTTATTTGCACAGAGAGTCTGATCTAGGTTCAAGGATCCCAGGGGCCACGTGATGAGAAGGATAAGTCATTGCCAGAGCAACAAAGCCTCAGGGAATACCTGTCAGGCAAAGGCTGCACCAGGGAGGTACTAGTGTTGCTGTTTGAAAAGCTCTGCTTACAGTAACCTTTCCAGTTATAAAACAACAAATGTTCACTGCAGAAAGTTAGAAATACACAAAAAAAGTATAAGGAAAATAATGTTGCTTATGTTGTTGTTGTTGTTATGTGTCATCGAGTCGGACCCGACTCATAGCGACCCCTCCTTGGGTTTCCGAGGCAGTATCGCTACGGAAATAGACTGCCCTATCTTCCTTCTGAGGAGTGACTGGTGGATTTGAACTGCCAGCCTTCTGGTTAGCAGTCAAGTGCCTTAGGCACTATGCTACCAGAGTGTCAATTCCGACTCAATGTGTGCCGAAAACTGATCATAGGGTTTTCAAGGTTGTAATTTTTCAGAAGCAGATCACCAGATCTGTGTTCTGAGGTGCCTCTGGGTGAGTTTGAACCATGAACTTGTCGGCAATAGTAGAGTGCTTAACCATTTGTGCCACCCAGGGACTCTAAGAAAATAGTAGCCATCCATAATTGCATTCTACAGATATTACCACTGTTACTTTTTGGTCCTTTTTTCTTCCCCAATCCTATTTTCCTCCATATGGATATGTGTATACCTACCTATCTCTCTCTCTTTCTCTATCTGTCTCCCTCTGTGTGGTATGTATCTTAGGTAGAGAATCTAGACTCTGTGATTTCACTAATTTCACACAATAATCCAAGTCAATGGCAAATACGCAAAGAACGGGTTAAAATGTTTGCAGTATTCAAAGTTAAAAGCATGTACTTGAAGTGTGGCTACAAAGAGTTCTTCATATATGTATACAGGTACCCATTGCCACTGTGTCAATTCCAACTCATAGTGACCCCATCTGTGACAGAGTAAACTGCTTCATAGGGTTTTGTTGGCAGTAATCTTTATGGAAACAGAAAACGTTTCCAGTAAACAGAAACGTTTACTGGAAAACGTTATGAGCAGCCCTGAAACATTGTCTGATATAGTGCCACTGAGTGGGTTCAAGTTGTCAATCATTAGGTTAGCAGTTGAGCATAAAACCATTTGTGCTACCCAGGACCTTCGTACATAAATAAATAAATAAATAGATCTAATGTCATTGAGTCAATTCCAACTCACAGTGACCCTAAAGAATAGAGTAGAACTGCCTCCATTGAGTTTCCACTGCTGTAAATCTTTATGGAAGCCAATTCCCCATGGAGCGGCTGGTGGGCTTGCACCACTAGCCTTTCACTTAGTATCTGAGTGCTTAACCATTGCCCAGTCTGTAATTTAGAAGGTACTTTTCTATATGTACTAACTCACTTAATCTTTACAAATGCCTTCATGAAATAACCTACATGCTATTACTCCTTTTGGGTAGATGAGAAGACTGGAAAAAGGAAAAGGGATGTCCACCATCATGTAACTAGTGACTGGTAGAGCAGGAACAAATCTCCTGAATCCTGGTCCAACAGTCTTCCCTTTGCACATTAAAAAAAAAAAAAAAAGATTATGCACATGCATGTGTTTTCTATAAAACCTCTGATTTCCTGAGTATTTAGCAAGTGGTGATAAAAGAACAATACTCTTGTGGATATGTATTTACTGAGCTCATCAAATATATGTCTTCTTTATTCCTCATACTTCTTAGCCCCATGCTGCAGATTAAAAAGAAGCTCTAAGAAGTTACATAATTGACCCAAGATCACACAACTAGGAGGTAATGGTTTGGGATGCAAACGTAGGGCTGTCTAATTCCAAATACTGTGCATCTTCTATAGTACTAGGTGTAGTTCCTAAGGCATTTGACTGTTAACCAGAAGGTTGGTGGTTCAAATCCA